AGGAACCCAGGATCATGGAGAATTGAGGAAAAGGTGGGCAGAAGGAGATAGTCAATTCAATTTAGAGTTTGAACATTTCAAATTGACCTTAAGGAATCTGTGAGATACTTAAATGGATTTGTTTGATAAGCTGTTGGATATTTGTGTTTCATAGTTAGCTGAGTCTGGACAAGAAATTTTCGGGGCTCAACACCAGTTAAACAGTAATGTAATAGAAACCACAAAATGGTTTTAGGCCATTGAAAATGTATGGAATGGGTGATAATGATCTTGTTGTCGTAGTTGTCAGCCTGGATGTAGCTCGCTTTGCTTAACTAAAATGATAACATTTACATGACAAATAATAATACCCCTCTTGTTTCTGCGTGCATTCTGGCAAAATGTATAGAAAGCTGATCAGTCCTCATATAACTGGCAGCTCCACAAGGGAAATAGTGTATATTTTAGTTCTCACTGTTGTACTGTTGTAATTGTCATTGCTGGACTTATGCCAACTAGCCTTCCTGTTGTTTTGATAGATTGATTACAGTTGAGTAAATTATTGAATATATCATGGATATAAATTGCTGTCATGGATTCAACACTAGGGAAATTGTCCATGTAACACGTGACATAATCTGGGGTTGGACCCCGTGATTATGGATGTGTTTTGCTATATTGTGTTGAAAACAAGACAGGAGTGAAATACTTAGATGTTTGGGAAAAGTAGTGCTGTTTGTCTCCTTAATAACTATTCAAGAAGAGGATGAAGGGACTTTTATATATTTAAAAATTGGGCGTCTCTATTTATATTCACAGCAAAGAGCTAATTAAATTTATTTATTATATGTTATTTTCCAAATGGCAACTTCTTGGAAGACACATTGAGTTAACAATCACATATTTAAATAAGCTTTTCATCTTAGTTAAAAAGATCAAAAAGTTACATTTAGTTTCATTAGGCTTAAATTTAGATCTTCCTTTGGAGACTCCAGGGAAGAATCTGTTTGCCTTTTCGAGCTTCTGGAAGATGCCTGCATGACTTGGCTCATGAGCCCTTTGCATCATTCTAATCCCTTGCTTCCATTGTTGAGTTTATCACTTCTTGCTCTGTGTCAAAGCTCTCTTTGTTTCGTTAGTTTGTAAAAACTGTGACAAAATATACCATTTTACATAATTGTGCAACCACCATCATCCCCATCGTTTTTAACTGAAAACAATTTTGACATGTAATCATGTCAGAATGGATTTAAAAATCCATTTCACCTTTTCCTTTCTGTATGACATATCAAAGGAATCACAGCTTTGTAGTTATGGAGAAGTTTTAATTTTCTATGATCTTCACTTATATATGATATTTAGCATCCATATTTCACATATCATATATGAAGGTTAGCATATGGTCAGGTTTTTTTGCATATAACAGCTTAGTAGCTTACATATATATGAACATAAAAAATTCTCTTATGTTTCTCTAGGAGGTGGCTCTCTAATTCCAGTTAGCTGTATCTCTTAACTGCTACCTATATTGCTGAACTTGACCTACATTTTGTTTTCATATGCTAACTTGTCCTTTGACTTTTCACTAGTTCTGGCAAGAAATAAAGAAGGAAGGGTGATAGACAAAGATATATATATTTAATCAATACTTATCCTACTATTGATGACAATTAAAAGAATTAGTTAAGAGGCAAAGTGAGAAGCAGAGTGTGAGAGTGAGGAGAGACAGAGAGAGGGACACACAGAGAGAGACATGTAAATGGAGAGACAAAGAAAGGTCATGTTTGCTGATTCATTCCCCCAAATAGCCCACAAAAGCTTTAGCCAAAACTCAAAACTGGTTGGGTGGCAGTCAATTTCCTGAGCCATCACTGTTGCTTGCCAGAGTTTGCATCAGCAGGAAGCTGGAATCAGGTGTTAAAGTGGAAATCAAGCCCAAGCATTCTGATATGGGAGACTAGTGTCTTAACCAAACCTTGAGGCTAAACACCCACTTCTTGTGAAGTGATTTTTAAATGCTCCTCTGCTGAAGATAACACCTCGCGTCCTGCAGGTCTGTCATAGTCCTGGCAACTCTTCCCTCTCCCCTGCCTTTCAGGTGATAGTCCAGCTAGATGTATTGTGGCAGCTCCTACTGTTGCTAAACAGAGTGTACTTTACCATTTCTTACTGCTTTTCATAACCAACTGACTGTATTCATTTCCAAAGTCCTCTCCTTTAAAAGATCTTCCATTATGTCTTTTATTTCCCTTTATGTTCCAACTGAGATGTTCTTTTTGTTTTGAAATGAATCTCAGTCAGAACTCACTATGTAAAAGGTTTCTCCTACCCCAACCCTAAATCCCCTCCCACCCACTGAGTTCCCCAGTAATATGACTATAGTATAGTTCTTCATAAACAGTTATATATCCATCATTGCAGGCATGGACAATGGCTGAGTCCCATTGTCAAGATATAGTTAACTTTTATTGATAGTCCATCTTTGCTCTGGAGGTAGAGATGCCCACTGCAATGTATTCTTACATCTGGACATGATAGTCTCTATTAAACAGTTACTATACATCCCCTGAAATGAAAAACCACAATACAAAATCAACAACAGGAAGAAAAAATATGTCATGAAATTCTCAAGAGGTTTTAATAGTCCAATAGTCTTGACTTGCTGTCCATCCCGTCACTCCAATTGCGATGAAATCTCTCCAGAATCCACTGGCTGACAGTCCACCTTAGAGCTCTGTTTGTCCAGATATTCACTGTCAACCCTTGATTGGAGTAGTTGATAAATTTGTTCTGTTCTCCGTCCTCTGCCATGGTACAGATGTCCTCTGAAGGCTGAGGTTTTTAAGACTTGGAGGAACTCACTTTTTAAAATACTAGACCAGCCAAATCCAACAAAATGCAAGCCTTGAACACTGTTGAGATGTCATCTCTAACCACACTTACTCAATAATATCACTTGACTATGCAAACAGATTTCACAGGCAAGTGAAAACATAGCTTCAGAAGGCAGCTCCATTTCTAGAATTCATTCACGCCGCCTATTGTAGTAAACCATATGTTGCATTGTGTTTGCTTGATTGCTTTGAGGATCCACAGGCTGGGCTCACTCAGAATATCGGCAAGATTGAGGACTTCAGATTTGATCTGAGATCATTTCAGTCTGGTTTACTACTGAACCAGTCAATAGGCAGTGCAAAGAATACGATAAAAAAAAAAATTGTGTTGTCCTAGCTCTATGTTGTTCCCTAGTTCCCAAAATGTGTGGTTGAAGAAAATCCACACTTCAGAATGAGACATCTACCAAGTCAGGGAATTCCAACCATGAATTTTCTTGGTGTGACTGGAGGAATCTCTTGGCACGCCAAAGTCCCAACTTGTTATTATAAATGGGAATGTTGTTTGCATCATTTGTATATTGTTTTGGAATCTACCAGATGGAGGTTTAAGTGTAATCGACTTGGCCATGCTCTATCACATTTACTAATGTCATTATTTTTAGATCTGAAAACAGCAATTATTTAAAATTCTCTATTACACAGAAATTCAGAGCAGATACGACATATTTCTAGTGCTTAGGATAAAAGTTAGCTAGAATCTAGAGAAAACCAGCTGGAAATATCAGAGAATTCATGGGTCTCTTATACCCTTTTGAAGTTCTCACCCTCACAGTTCTGTTAATATTGCCCTCAAGGGCTAAAAGAAGATTGTATTTATTCATAAACAGTCAGTGGCAGAGAGTCCAGCATCCTACTGTCAAGATATATTTAACAGTTTTATTGGGAGTCCATCTTTGATCTTGAAGTAGATATGAATGCTGCACTATATCCTCATATGTGGATATGATAGTCTCCATTACAATAACTATACATTACATAGTTACTATATACATTCCTGTAAACAAAGAGCCATAAAACAAAATCAACAAGAAGAAAAAAAGAAATTGAAAATGTCATGAAGTTAAATAATGTTACTGAATGACTAATGTGTTGCTGAAGAAATAAAAAAGAATGAAGAATCTTCTTGAAGAAAGTTTTATCTATGAGTCAGTGAATAATGGGAAAGTGTTTGAAGAGATGAAACTAAAAAAAAAAAATCCATGAGGTATACTTTCCAATGATCTTTGTTAGTGAGATTTGTCTCCTGTAGGCAATAAGTGGATGGGTTTTGTTTTCTTAATCTAGTCTACTTATCTGTGACACTTCATTGATGAGTTTAAGCCATTTACATTCATTCAGGGTTAATATGAATGGGTTGTAATTTGGTCCTGTCATTTTAGCAACGGGTTGTTCATTGATTTAGTCTTCTGTTGTTATTTTACTGGGATGTTCTTCCCATTTGCCTTTGGTTTTGGTAGGTGCTATTCCTCTTCTCTGACAAGAGAACATCTTTACGTATCCTTTGTAGGGCAGGTTTGGAAGGGACATATTCTTTTAAATTTTCTTTACTGTGGAGCAACTTAATTTCATTTTCAAAGACAAAAGTAAGTTTTGCTGGATATGTTATCCTAGGCCAATAATTTTTTTCTTTTAGAATCTGGAATTTGTCACCCCATCCAGGGCCAGATCCGGGAGCCTTCACATTTTTTACAAAGCAGCCTAGGCACTAACGCTGGTAGCCAGCCGGGGCCAGGGACTCTCCGCGCCAAGCCTCTTGGGGTCCCCATCCTGGCAGGCATGCGGGTATGGCCTCCTGAGGCAGCTGGCGGGGCGCGCAGTGGACCACCGCATCCTCAGGCCTGTTTGAGGGAGTGGGGTGCCAGCGTCCTGCCGGCTGTCCATCACGCAGCCGCCCATGCTGCTGCCAACTGCGATTGGTCCGAGGCTCAGGCCGGCCCCTCCCACCTCACCCCGCCCCGCGGATGGACAGGCCGGAGGGCGGGGCCTGACGTTGGAGGGAGGCCCGGGCAGCTGTCAGTTACGGGGCTGGCCCGGGGGCGGGCGCTCTCTGGCTGCCTGGTTGCTGGCTCGCTGGCTCTCTTGCTCACTAGCTCACTCTTTCGCGCTGCCTCTCGCCGCCAGTGGGGAAGTCGGGGCCTGCCACCACCACCTCATTTGGATCTCCTCCCCCAGGACCTCCTGGCCCGTGCGCCCCCGAAGTGAGCCACCGGTCCCGGATAGGCTCCTGAGAGTCACCGTGGCAGCACCGGGACCTGTTTAAACCATGTTTAGGAGGATTTTGCAGAGGGTAAGAGAGGGAAACTGTCCTTCCGGGAGCACGTGAACGGGAGAGCCGGGGGGCTGTGGGGTCGTGGGCGCGGCGTGGCGCGGTGGCACGGGACCTCTCCTCGGCGCGGGCCCGTTCCTTCTCTAGGCCCCGCCGTAGGCAGACGTTGGGGCCTGCTCGTCCGGCCCGGGAGTGGGCCGCGGGAGCCGGGAGGACGGCTGGGGCGCATTGGGGCAGCAGGCCGGAGCCCACGGGGATGTCAGGCGAGCTCGCTACGAGCTGGAGGGTGTGGCGCTGCTGCGGAGTCCCACCAGGGATTCCAGCATGGGGATGGAAAGGGGAAGAGTTGGTGCTTACTGGACGCCTGGCCAGCTGGCCGGCTGCCTACTTGCAGGGCTTGGAGTCCGGCCCCTGGGAGATCGCGGGCGGCCATCTAGCTCTGCTCTAGGCTCCCAGCACCCCGGGCTGGACCTGACAGGACACGCACCTGCCCCACATGGCGTCTCCTTCCCCTTGTGGACAGCGCTGGAAGGCGGTGTGACGAGACCCGGCCTAGTGTGGGCCCAGTCGTGGGACTGGCAGTTAAAAGCAAAATCAGCTCTGAGGGAAGATATTACTCACTGTCGGAAACTTTTTTTTTTGTTGTTATTTAAAAATGCGTTTTCCCTCCCAAGCTTGAATACTTTATTTTTTCTGTCTGAGAAGATATCTTGTTAAGCGTCATCAGATGATGCATATTTCTTCCATGTCTGTCAGTGCGTCTCTGTGTGAAATATGGAAAGCCTTGAAGATTTCAAGACTAGGACATCCTAGGTGTATTGGGTAGCAGTCACTTCCTAAAATCACATAATTAAACTCTGCCTTGTGGAGTGACTAAACTCAAGTTTTTGTTTTGTGCAGCTTGCTTTCTTTACTTGTCTTGAGACAAGCAGGGGGATAACAAAATGTAAATGATGGAAAAATAGGTACCAAATCAATGAGTTCATTTCCTAGGGAGTAAGATAACTAACTATTTCAAAACAAAAAAGAGTGAACTTGGAGATTTCAGTCACAGGATGAGGCAGAGTTGAGTCATCCAGCTGTATGGGAAGGAGGTGTTCTTGCTTTGCACAGCTTTCCTGAAATGTTGGAGTCATGTAAAGTTTGCATGCATGTGAAGGGGAGTGGCGGTTGACTTCGGTATTTGGCACTGTGGATTGACATATTGATTTTATTTTATTATTTTTTTTTTGCAGTGATTTTGTTTGAGGTTTTTGGACTCTCGATTATTAGTGAATTTGGCAGTAGTGAGGGCATGCCCTTTACTCTCTTCTGTCAGTTCCTGTGGGCAACTGCCAGGACATCTGTCCATGGCTTACTTGCAGGACTTAAGAGATTTTCCTTTTATCAGACCTAGAGAAGCTGATGACCTCATGCTTCAGATTGCGTTTCTGTCATAAGTTCCACAAGGGAAAATCAGTTTACCCGAGGTTTGCTGTGAGGTAGATGAAGTGTTTCCTGATTTCAGACTAGCTTGTGATAGGTTGGCGTTAGTTTTCTGAAAGATGAGGGGCTTAACAGTGTTTTTGGTCTAATGCTGCTAAGCATTGAGATTATATAAAGATCATTTTTTTTTTAGTGTTGGCATGTGCGCTTAGACTGTTCTGGAAGTTTCCCTCAGAAATACAAGACTGGAATTTATTGAGCATACTGCTGGGATGTGTTAGTGAACCATCATATTTGATGAAGTCGAGTGACACCTGAGTTTCGTATTCTCATCACCACTAACGACACTGACCAGGATAATTCTTTGTGATGGAGGGCTGTCATGTGCATTGTAGGATGCTTAGCAGTGTCTCTTCCATCTCTTACCCTCTAAGTGCCAGTAACATTCCCCCAATGAGTATCTCCAGACTTTTACAAATGTTCCCTAGGGGCAACATTAGCTTTGACTGATGTTAAATGTGTTACCTCTGTGTTAAAGTGGATGCACTTTTCTTTTTTTAAAGTTTTATTTATTTCAAAGGCAAAAGTACATAAAGAGAGTTACAGAAAGAAATCTTCATCTGCTGGTTCACTCCTCAGAAAGCCACAATTGCCAGAGCTGGATCTTTCTGAAACCAGCAGCCAAGAGCTTCCTCCAGATCTTCCACATGGGTGTGGGGCCCTAAGCGTTTGGGTCATCCCCTGGTGCTTTCCCAGGTCCTTTAGCAGGGAGCGGGATCGGAAATGCAGCAGTCTCCATGGGATGCCAGGTGCCTATGGCCTTATCTGCAGGTGTGCTACAGTGCTGACCCCAAATGTATGCATTTTAAAAACAGTTTGTTTTTTTTTTTTTTTTAATTTATTTGAGAAGCAGAAAGAGAGCAACCTATCTACTGGCTCACATCTGAAATGCCTGCAATCCTTTATCCAGAGCCAGGAATTCAATCCAGGGTTCTCACGTGCATGGCAAGGACCTGGCTAGTGGAACGAGCACCTCCACCTCCCTGAGTCTACACTGGTAGGAAGCTGGCTCAGGAGCTGGAACCAGAGCCAGAGCTAGGAGTAGAACTCTGTGTGGGATGTGTGTCTCCTAACTGCCAGCTTACCTACCAAACCAAACATCTGTCCTCATGGAAGCACCCTTTAATATGAAGACTCATTATTTAATCTGCTTTTATTCAGTGTACTTAAGTTGCAGTAAAGGCCAGGCATTACAGCAGTGGTTGGGAACGAGTTTATCAAGATACAGACCATCCTTTAGTCATGGAGTTGGACTAGTCATGGAGTTGGACACTTAAATGTCATTTGCACTGCTACGTAATAGTACACCTAATAGTACACCGGGAGCCATTTTGTGAGATGGAATTAGAGACTATCAGAAAATGCTTTAGGGCAGAGGCATGTTTACAAGTCACAAGACAGAAGGGTGGGTCAGGCTCAGAGAACGGCAAATGCAAAGGCATGGGGTCATAGAAGGAGCAACTAACTCTGGAGAGATGGAGTGAACAGTTCTATTTAGGGAGTGACAGGTTAGGGCATGAGGCAACCCAGGTAGATGGCCACAAATTGAGAAAATCTAGAGTTCCTTTGAAGAAATTAGCTTTCATGTTGGAGATGGGTCAGAATTTAATAATAGTAGCATTTTGATAAAGGTCTTAGTTACATGTCGAACTTTGTGTTGCTAATTTAGAACCTGGAATATGTGTTTTGTGAACTCCACAGATGATATTGAATCTTTTAAAAAATATTTCAGTTTTTAAAGGTCATGTGAAATGAGTAGATTTCACATTTTTCATGATACATATTTGGAAGCATGGGGGTTTCTCTCTCTCCCCTTACTCTCATCCCTCCCTATTCCCCTACCCCCCCCCACTAATTTTTAAAAAATTTTGTAATGTGGCAGCCATTTTATTATACTCCATCCTAATAATGTTATTTCACAGCATAGCTATTAGGATAATAAGATTAAAACTGTAGTTGCTGGCTGAAAGAGTTCTTCAAAAATATCTCCATGCTATGAAATTATTTTGTATTTCTGTAACTTTCTGTATTTAGATGATCTTTTCATTTTAACTATTATGATTTTCTTCTGAATAATGCAATTTAAGTAACACTTTTTAAAAAAGAAAGGAAGAATTCAGTTATGGTCAGTTGATGGTCTTTGAGCATTACAAATGAAGTCCCAAGTTACTTTAAGAAAGTTGCTGATCCTTCTTTGCTTTTTCCTCCTTTTTCATTCACTTATTGTTTAAAAAAGATTTGTTTTTTGAGAGACAGATTTACAGAGAGGAGACAGATTCTATGGTGCGCTCCCCAAATAACCTTTCTGCTCACTGACTGTTCTAGTTCAAAGCCAGGAGCCTCGGAGCTTCCTCTGGGTCTCCCAAATGGGCAGAAGGGCCCAAGGCTTTAATGTGCTTTCTCAGACACATTAGCAGAGCTGGATTGGAGGTAGAGCAGTCTGGATTTGAATCAGATGTTGACACTGCTGGTGGAGGCCTAACTTACTATGTCACACCCCCCCACCCACACCTTCATTTACTTATTTAAAAAACAAAAACATTCCTGGATGTTTGAAAGTGCTTGGAGGGGGAAAAAGAAACCCCAGTAGCTCCAATATGTGTGTCATTTTGCCTAATAGTCCTGTGAAGAAAACATGTATTCTAAGGGCTTGATGGCCATAAGGTTGAACATTTTAGTAGCTTTAGTAGTTTGTAAACTTTGCTGCTGTTTCTTCATTAGGAACTCACTGTGATGTTCACTGTGATGTAACAGTAGTAGGTTAGATTTCAGTTCACTGATAAAGTTAAATAGTACTGCCAAAGAAAAAAATGAATTTATTTCAGAATTGAAGGAATGGAAGGACTTCCTTTATGTCATCAGGCTGCGTACTTTTAAGACTGAGGAAGTAGAAACAGAGTAAGAAGTGATTTTTCTAAATTTTCTAAGGCAATAGCTAGCTAAAAGCAGAGATTGCTGGAGGCTCCAGCTGCATTTTTACAATTCCCCATCCATTTCATAGCTTGTAGTGCCATGTCCCATTTCCTTACATCCTGTCACTCTTGTTCCTCATTGATCAGCTGATATGGTTGTCCCTATGCCGTCCCTGTGCTGTCCCTGTGCTGTCCCTGTGGAGGAAGTTCTGCTTTGGTTTCATGATTAAATGTCAAAGTAAATGACAGAACAGTCCGTGGTAGTGCATAGGAGGAAGGATCAAAACAGGTAGTCAACTTGGAGAAAATGGGTCTGAGATGGGATTTTGGGAAATTTGTATGATTAAGAGAAGAGAGAGGCTGGTGCCATGGCATTGTGGGCTGGGTTTCTGCCAGTAGCACTGGCATCCTGTTTGGGTACCAGTTCATTGTCTTGGCTATTCCACCTTTAATTAGCTCCACCTTCCAGAGAAGAAACACAGAGAAAAAAGTTATCTTCTACTTGTTGGTTCACTCCCCAAATGGCCAGGTGCTGAGGTTGAGCTGGTCCATAGCCAGGAGCCAGGATCTTCTGGGTCACTCACGTAGACTTGGGCCATCATTTGCTCAGGCCAGAAGCAGAAA